TCCTCCCTCTCATTCAATCAAATTTGATTCTCAGAGGCTGCCTGGACAAGTCCCTGCAATTTTCTTGGCAACATTTTTCAGAAATGGTTTGCCATTACCTCCTTTCTAGGACTAATAGTGAATGACCGGCCCAAGATGGTGGCTTTGTGCCTAAGATGGGACTAGAACTCTTGGTCTCCTAGTTTCTATCCTGATGCCTTCACCACTACACTACACTGGTTCTCAATTTCTGGTACAGGTAGACCTCCATTTATTCATTTAGCGACCTTTTGAAGTTACAACACTATTGAAAAGAGATTTACAACCAATCCTCATAACTGTTGTAGTATCACACGATCAAAATTTGGGTGCTTGGCAACTGGCATGTATTAGGACAATTGCAGCATCCTGGGATCATATGATCACCATTTGAAACCTTCCCAGCTGGCTTCCGACAGGCAAAGTCAATGGAGGAAGATGATTTGCTTTATGACCTCCTGATTCACTTAACAACTGCAGTAATTCACTTAACAACTATGATAAAAAAGGTCATGAAATTGGGTATGACTCAACAACAGGAATTCTGGTCTAAATTGTGACCATAAGTTAAGGGCTACTTTATTTTAAAATTTTCATTAATGATATGGATGAAGGAAATGGAATTTTACAGATTACACAATTGAGAGGGATAGCCTGTACCTCGTTGTTGTTCAGTCACTAAGTCATGTTAGTGGATCATAGTATGCCAGCCCTTCCCCCCACCCCAGGGGTGGGTTCTACTTACCTTTACTACCAGTTTGCAGCGGGGCTGCACGCGCTCTTCTGTGCAAGCGCAGAAGCGTTTTGATGACATCAGGGTCGGTGGACTACTACCGACCTATAGAACCGGTGTGAACCGGGGACAGCCTACCACTGCCCCACCCACGTCCTCTACTGTCTCCCAGAATCCAATTCACACCCATTGTGTCAATGACAATATCTAACCATCCCATCCTCTGCTGTCCCCTTCTCTTTTTGTCTTCAATCTTTCCCAACTCCCGGGAATTTTTCCAATGAGTTCTCTCTTCTCATTTGATATCCAAAGTATTTGAGCTTCAGCTTCAGTATCTGGCCTTCCAAAGAACAGTCAGGGTTAATTTCCTCTAGGATCGACTCATTTGATCTTCAGTCCAAGGGACTCTCAAGAGCCTTCTCCAATCAAGGCAGCCCTCGATTTACAACAGTTTGTTTAGTGACCTTTCAAAGTTACAGCAGCACTGAAAAAAGTGACATGACCATTTTTCAAATTTACAACTGCCAAAGCATCCCCACGGTCATGTGATCAAAATTCAGCCACTTGGTAACCGGCATGTATGTATGATGGTTGCAGAGTCCCAGGGTCATGTGATCACCTTTTGTGACTTTCTGACAAGCAAAGTCAATGGAGAAGCCAGATTCACTTAACAACTGTGTTACTATAATAACTTAACAATTACAGTGATTTATGAATTGGGGCAGGAAAGGTCATAAAATGAGGCAAAATTCACTTAACAAATGTCCTGCATAGCAACAGAAATTTTGGGCTCAATTGTGGTCAAAAAATTGAGGACTACCTGTACCACAATTAGAAAGCATGAATTCTTTGGCTCTTAACCTTCCCATGGTCCAGGTCCCACAACCATATATAACTACTGGAGACTATACTCTACAAGGCAGAAATAATCTTAAAAATTATTTTAAGAGATTGGATGAATGGGCTGGAAGGAATTTACAGAAATAAGTAATTTTTCTTTAAAAAAAATAAAAATTAAATAAGCAGATATAGGATGAGGGATTCCTGACTTGGTACAGGTTACCTGTGAGAAAACTATCACAGGTAGGATAATAAATGACTGTGAGCCGCAGCTGTGATGTGACTACAGAAAAGTCAAATGCAATTTCAGGCTGAATCATAAAAGTATGTTTCCAAATCACAGTATTAGTATTTTTATTCAATATATAATAATAGCAATACAAATAAAAATCACAACATATAAAACTCACTTCCACGTGATTTATATAACCCAAACTTTTCATAATTAAATCAATATCAGATCCTACAGTCAAACCCATTGGTTCTTCCAACTTCATAAATATATTTGAAAAAAGAAGCACAAAAATTCTCCTTTCTTTTGTTTTAGCCAAATCCCATCTAAAATGCTGTTTTAGGCACCACGCTTTAAGAAGATTTAGAAGACAGTTTCAGAAAAGGGCAATGAGAATGTTTGAGAAGACTAGAAATTTGTTCTTTCAAGAGAGCCTGAAGGTCTGGGACTGAATGGCAGATGTGAAGAAATATAAGAGTATTTTTCAAGTAACCGACATTATGAAGATACTTTTATAATAATTTCTGAGGGACATGCCTTCATGAAGTTGCTTTCATCTTATCTCTTATCTTTTGTTCCATTGTAAAACAATTCACACCAGTTTTCCTTCTTCTCCCAACATAAATATTGCCATACAGATTGTGTAGAGCATATTGGTGACGCTACCGATGATGATGTGATTAGGGGTTGCAAACTATGCATTTCCTATTGGTTATTTAAGTCTGCTTTGGAAATGCCCCCACCCAGGGCATTCATGGGGCATTGACCTCCTTGGCCATTTTGGCTTTATTTTTAATGGAGAAAGGTTGGAAAGGAGCTGTGGTGGCGCAGTGGTTAGAATGCAGTATTGCAGGCTAATTCAGCTTACTGCCAGTTCGATCCTCACCAGCTCAAGGTTGACTCAGCCTTCCATCCATCCGAGGTCAGTAAAATGAGGATCTAGGGGCAATATGTTGACTCTGCAAACCATTTAGAGAGTGCTGTAAAGCATTATGAAGCGGTATATCAGTTAAGTGCTATTGCTATATGGGAATATTGATCTCATAGATAATTGAAAGTGGATCTTCCAGGAAATCAATATTTCCAGTTTCCAGACTTCCTAAACCTTTAATCTGTATTTAAGATTCATGACATATTCTGCAGTATATTAGAGTATGATACCTTATACAGAGTCATTTGCCATCCAAATTCCCCCTACATGTTTTAGATGAAGAAGCACAAATAAAAAAAATACAGATGCCCACATCTGGCATAGCAGATGAAAGGATAATTGGGAGAGAAAGAGAAAAGAGCTCTTCTGTTCTCCTTCAAAGAGAGAAACTGATGCTAGGCTTCATTATCGGGTGTGGAGGGGGGAGTATATTCTGGATGAATATTTTTTTCCATACACCTAAATTCCTTGGCTACTGGTCCAGGCAGCATCCTTGCAAGCCTTGGGCCAGAACACCTGACAAAATAATTGCTGAATTGTAACTGTAAATCAAATACTGGCAGCCCTCCTTATCTTGCTTTGATATCTAAGGTATTACCACCATTCCACACAACTGGGAGAGACATGCCTTAGCACCAAGGTTTATGACTCCTTATTATTGTAGTGTTGTATTTCTCCTGGGATTATCTACTCCCCCCATAATGTTTCAGTCTTTCTTTGATGATCAAATTGTACATGTTCTCCATACTTCCTATGTGGATCATGTGTTCTTCTATGCATTGCTCCTGCCTCATCAATCACTTTGAGAGAGCAGATTATGCCTACAGCAAGGCAAAATGCTACTTCTGAAATCCAGTGACTCTTAATTTGAAATCCCATGAATGATAGGAATGGAATGATAGGAATGAAAGAATTTTAAAGTAGTTTCTCTCAAAGGCCAAATTTCTAATTAACTTCAGTACTCACACATATCCCTGAAAGGGAAGTCAGTGCCAGGAATCAAGGAATGACCGTTTGTGGAGAGGCTCCAAAAGGAATGAAAGAAAAAAACAATCAATAGACAACAGGTAAAACAGTTGACATCTTATCTCATAAACGGCCACTTAGCCCAGGTGGAGAGAAAGTGTTTCAGATCCTTCAAAGAGGCTCCGTCTTAACGAACTGTCTTTAAATGAGGGTTAGAAATTCCTTTTATAGTTTCCAAGACATGCAGTAACCGCAGGCTAGCATTAAAGATACCTCAGTGAAATACTTGTCATTCTTGATATCTCGATCTTGCCCAACTATGTAGGATTTGACACAAGGAGAGTGTAGAAGCCTGAATGCTTTCTCCATACTTGTCATATGTTTTCCTTTTACACGGTTGGCTTTTAGACACAGAAAAAAAAGGAGGAGGAGGGGGAATCTATTATGAAGATCATTTCCAAGAGAAACACTGATTTTCTGATCTTCCGCATCTTTCCTGAGATTGAAAAATCAATATTCCCATGGCGTAAACTTCTTAAAAGATTGTGATTGTTGTAGTTGGGAAAGAGATTGATAAAACCATCAGGGAATCAGTTCCTCTGTTCTAGAGCTCATAATGTGGAAGAATGGACTTAAGTGACAGGAAGGCATATTCCAATGAATGTCAGAGACAACATACTAAAAAGAAGAACAGTTTGACAATAGAACAGTTATCTGTGGGGGGGGCAGGAGACCCTTTCACTGAATGTATTTAAGTGGAGGCTACAGAGCCATCCGCAGCTGTTTCCCAGCCAGAAGCAATGGAAGGAAACAAATACATTATTCTTCAATGAACAGGATTTCCATTTTGGGAATCAAAGGCTCAAACAAGCAGCCAGGGGAGGATTCTTCTTGCTGAAGAAATGGCAACTGACTGCATGTTGGTGAAAACAGGAGAGTGACAGCCTGCCTAAGTACATTCATTGGGGAGGTAGGAAGCCATTTTGTATTCTTCAGAGTGTTTTGTTTTGCTTATTAATTGAATATCAAACTCCTGGAAAACCTGGGGCCAGTCTTCCATTCACATGATTGAAGGAGAAAGAGGAGGAAAAGATTGTGCTAGTCCCTCACTGGTAGCCAAGTAGTCTACTCTTGAAATAGACCATTGTACTGGTCTTGGGTTAAAAAGTCTTATTCTTTAGAATCTATTACCAATCTCCTAAAAGATCCAGTAGATATTTTACCCATAAGCCTCTGCTCCAAGTTCTCAAGAGGGCAGGCGGAGGGCACATTTATCTCACCCTTATTTACGGTAGCTCCAACTGAAGTTGATACCATTGTGGGAGTTGGTACCCAATCCCTGCTGTTGTCCACCTCCCCCCTCCAGCCTATCTTGGCAGATGCTCAAAAATACATCCCACACCCTTGGCCAACTGCCTCCAACCACTTCCTCCTTGCAGGTGCTCCAATCTCAGGAGGGCGCGGTGGTTTGTGGTTCTCAAACTAGCTCTTGGGAGAGGGTGGGGTCTCTGAATAAACAGGAACTAAGAACAGAGCCAACGCTGAGAAAAAAAAAACCTTAGTAAACAGAACCACATTTCCTTGGCCAGAAAATTGGCTCAATTGGCATCATTTGGAAATCCACAATTTGGGCTATTGCCATTATCACCACCTTCTCCTAGTGCCCATTTTAAAAGGAAGACCATATTTTTCCCCCAGCCATCTGTCTATAATGTGCCCAGATATAATTCAACTGATACAGTGTATTTTTCCCACCAGCACAGAGCTGCAATGCTAGGATAACTTTGCATGTTAAAGTACTTCTGCAACTATTAAAAGCATAATACATGGTTGTATTACAAAATGAAAGAGAAGAATATTGAAGTGGGACAAGCAACATTCCGACTTCTTTCAACCCATACCCAGAGTGGGTCATATCCAGATTCAATATTTTTTCCTACCTATACTGAAGACTACACCTATAGCTTTTGTGCCCTAGGCATTAAACCGTTAGATATATTACATTTGTTGATCAAAATTCACATCAGTCAGAATTGCTGTAATAACCTTGGAGGAAAATTACTAGAAGCATAACAACATTAATTTGTTATAAGTTTGTTGATTAATGCATCTCCAGTTGTCTTGGATATGATATCATTTACAATTTTGAGGACATGCTGTGACTTTGGGAGATAAGGCAGCATTCTTGAGAAACCTGCCAGTTCACAAGTATTTACAAGGTCTTTGGCAAAAAGTTAGCTAAAGAAGGGCATCATGTTGGGGGAAACTAGCATGGAGGTTTATAATTCAATACACAGAGGGCATCAGATTGAGAAAAGCTGCATTAATCAGTTTAAAACAGTGTATATATATTTAAAGAAAACATTTTCAATTATTTAAGCATGTTTTTAAATTTTGTTAATAATTTGTAATACAAGTTCTTGGAAAAAAAGACAGCTGAGAAACTGGTTCAGCTCCATTAGAAATCAGGACATATCTAATAAAAATGCAAAACAAAGAGATGTGTGCTTGTGCACATGTAAAATATCAATTGGACTAAAAGAGAGATGCATAATCTTAAGGAACACATACGATATTGAAAAATCTTGAGCAAGACCCCTAGAGGTTCCCCAAAGTTCTATTTGAAATTGTGAAAGATAAAGAGAGTTTTTAATTATGTATGTATGTATGTATGTATGTATGTATGTATGTATGTATGTATGTTGTGGTATTCATGTCTCATTTTTCTTTAGGAGTTCAGAATTAATTTTATTTATGGAGGGTCTCTCCTCACTTTACCCTTATAACAAAAAAGCCCTGCCAGATCAAATTAAGTCTAATTCAAAGTTATCAATATAAATGTCAATATTAACATCGGTTTCACTTTTTATCCTATTCTTACTATTTTCAGAGTATGGCACCTAACCAGTCACTTAAGGCCTTGAACATCATTTGGCCTAGGAAAAAAATTAATACAATGCTCACCAAAACATAGTATGCTTTCCCCATAAATAATTTTTTTTTAATTTGAATAATGCTTCCGACATCCCTCCCACTCACCCGACTTTCATTGGAGATGCCTATTTTACAGATGAGAATCAGAAGGAAACAGCCCAACACCTTATCCAGTGGAAAGATCCTCACTGTTGATGAGAGGTTAATTTCTAATGCAAGAAAGACGTTTCACAAATGTTTTTAACTTTCCCATCCCATATGCTACCAAAAAGACTGCTGCATTGTTTGTAGTTCACAAAGGCGTAGATCTATAGGGTTCTTTCTATTTTTAAAATTAGATATGGAAATGAAATATATAAAGATGAAGAAAATTATTCCACTTGTCCCTCTAATATTGGACTCCCTACTCCCAGAGGCCAGTGTGAGTTAATGATTAATAATGTCTGGAGGCCAAACCTGCACCCCACTTCAGAACCCCATAGCAAGATAGCAATGGGTTTTTCCTCTTATTCTTGTTGCATCCAGTCTCTGGTGTGAACTCATCAGATCCTTGTGCGAGCTAGACTAGCCTTAACACTTAAACCCAGGAAAAATATTTGAGTTCTGTTTCTCCCTTCCTTCATCCCCTAGTCCTGTCCTCTTCATCCTGAATACAAGCCTATTATCTTTGCATAATTTCATAGCTTTTTTCTTGCCTCATTTATTCTTGTTTTCTGTTATCATTTATTCTTGTTTTCTGTTATAAAAAAAATCTGGAGCAGATTACAATTGCTCAGCCCTTCAAGAAATGCACAGAAGTTTACGATGTCTTGAATCAACAACAATCTTCATGTGGTTTAGAGCCCAAAGACACACAGCTCTCTCCTGTTGATCAGCACCCCAAACCACAGGCCTTACTAAAAGCAAGAGAGACCAAGGTGGGAGATGTTTGCTGAACAAAAGATAGGGTAATACAATAGAAAGCATTCTTGATAAACTGATACACCAGGCACTGGAAAAAGCTGAGAGAGCAAGAGCTTTAACACTAACTTATAATAGACAAGTTCTAAAATCTCCTCCACAACATCCAAAGCTAAAATCAAACTTGCAGAAAAGTTGACATTGAGTTTTCCTTTGTTTATGCAGCTTTAATAGATGTGTACATTTTTGCATTGTAATAATACATCCTCTCTCCCTCTGTCTAGCCTCTTATCTTTCCCATTCTACCTCACTACCCCAGTTCTGGCACAAGACCATATTGCCTAGAACTGGGATGATGTGACTGTATTGTTCACATGTGCATGCATACATGTGCACATACAACACACACAAATATGGAGTATTATGTACACAGGTCCTTTATTAACACACATGAAACAGTTTGAACTTACATGTAGTATGTGTGTTCGTGTAAGTGGTTAGAGGAGGGCAGACATCCCAAGCTCTGAGGTCCGTGTAAAATTCAGCTAAATGAATTGCATGCAGGAGAGAAAATATGTGGGGCTGGGGAGATAGCAGAAACTAGGATATGGGGAATAGGTTAAAGGGCAATTTTGTAAAAAAACAAAACAAAAAAACCCCAGAACACTGAATATCACACATCAATGAAGTAAACTAGTAACCTTTGCACCACCTAATTTTCCCACAGTACTACAGGAGAGTTTTTCATCCTCACAATCCCTTGCAAAACTTGCCCAAAGTAGGAATGCCATACTTTCCTGCAGACTTTTGCAATAGGTCAAAAGAGGATTGGTGCATATTTTTCCTCCCATGAACATTCTTGTGCTTCCCACTGCATCCTGTGATTCCCATTTGAAAGGTGGGAATCAGAAGTCAGATAAATAAATAGTAAGGAAATAAATGAATGAATGAATACCACTGCCACCTTTTCAAGCTTTTGCTAAGCATTACTGTCCAAGATTCCAACTTTCTTTTATATTGTACTTACTTTGTTTTATTCATTATTCATTTCCTGCCATTTGCAGCTATTCCTGCAAGGGGCACTAGTTCTCTTTGCCCCTCTCCCCTCCTCCCAAAATCCTTTACACTGGATTCCCCCCACAGATGTTCCATTTCCTTCCTGTTCTGATTCACACTGTTCTCGCTGGGAGGCAAACAGGGCATCTGCAAGGTCTGGTTTAAAAAAAGGCAAGATGGAGTATGCAGCAGCGTGATCAAAGCTTGGCCTCCATCTTGACTTTTTTGACCAGACCTTGCAGATATGTCTGGAGCCAAACAAGAAGAGGAGGCTCATGGGACAGAATGCCTACCGGGCATAGAGCGGCTGTAGATGCACACACAAATGTTGAAGGAGGCAAGAGGAGCTTTGGAGCAGCGTTCTTTGACCTTGGCAACTTCAAGAGGTGTGGATCTCAACTCCCAGAATTCCCCATGCTGGCTGAGCAATTCTGTGACTTGAAGTCCACAGCTCTTAAAGTTACCAAGGTTGAAAAACGCTGCCTTAGAACCAAGACAGATGAGGTTGCCTAACTTAAAGACACAAAGAGGGAAGGGCAGGGAAGCTCTCCCTGTGTGCCATCCCCTCCTGAGAGTTTTTCACCATTCCTGTATTTCCCCCTGCAGAGGAAAAGCCCTTTTCTCTCCATTAACCTTCCTTTCTTTTTGCTTGTTTGCTTTTTTTCCTCCACCACTTTTGTGCTCATTGCAGTCGTGGCCAATACTGGGCAAGATCAGAATCCCCACCTGGGACTTGTACAGGAACTGACACTCCTGGAGAGATCAACCCTAGAAAGAGAGACAAAGCCGTTACAGAGTGCAAAATTCTGAACCCAGGATTTTCAGCTCAGCAACTGTAGGAAACACAGCAAACTGTAGGAAGTTGGGGACAAGAACTGAAACAAGTTGAACAATCCTGTTGCAATAATGTTCCCTGTACACAGACTGCCAAGGCTATTTCAGATTCCTTAAATAAAATACCTCTAGAAAAGGCAACAAAAAGGTTGCTTCTTTAAAGGCTAGAGATTGGCAGAGCCCCAGAGACATTTCTGGCCCCCTGGAATAATGTGTGTTCATTGTGGTTACTACCGTTGCATTCTTAAGAACGATTTAAGAGAATGGGTAGACTGTTTGCATAAAAAATAGACATTTCTAAGAGCCTCAGCTTTTGCAAAACAGAAATACTCTTGCATTGATCCCTATACATGGATACTAGTATAGAAGCAGGCTTTCCACTTAGCTTTCACCACCCAGAGGAGCAGAAAATAACATCAAGATTAACATTAGACCAACAATCATGAAATAAACAATATCCTCAACAAGGAACTGCCAAACAAACTAACAGTAAACAGCCCAGCCGAAGAATCATCAGGGCCATTTCCATCAACACTGACAGGGCAAGCCACTAGAATATAAAAAGAAAGCAAAGCCCATTCTTTATTAGCACTGATGATGTTACCAAATTTGGATAATGAAACATCTGCAAGAAAACAACCAAGCTCAGAGGGCACCAAGGCCTCCCACTTAATTTTATCCCCTTTCATTGTCTCCCAAAGATGCTATACTATTACTAGTATAATTTAGTAATGAGTTGAAAACAACATGAAATGGGCAATGCCTGTTGGGATGAAATACTAGCAAATCTGTTTGTAAACATAATTTCTTTCTTTGTCCAATTTCTTTGGCAGATTTTGGCATAGCTTTTTCATTTCTTTTCTTTATTGTCTTTCTTGAGGCTGAAAGTGGCCTTATGGGTCTGTAAAGGAAGACTCTGACACCCAATATGGTAGTTAAAATGGTGCTTGATGAGTAAATATTGCCCTTAATGAAAGAAAAATGAAACCAGCACATCCAATTATTTTTCCATGAGGCTAGAAAGAAGCATCTTCTATTTTGTTTTCAGAAATATTAAATGAAATTCACACAAGTGGACATCTTCTCCCCACCACAGCATAAGAATTAATTCCCATGTTCTTCACTTGTATTTGCCATGACCATTTTAACAGAACAACAGAATAACAGAATTGGAAGGGACCTTGGAAGTTTTCTAATCCAACCCCCTGCTTAAGCAGGAAACCCTACACCACTCCAGACAAATGGTTAGAATAGAATAGAATAACAGAATTGGAAGGGGACCTTGGAGGTCTTCTAGTCCAACCCCCTGCCCAGGCAGGAAACCCTACTCCACTTCAGACAAATGGTTATCCAATATCTTCTTAAAAATTTCCAGTGTTGGGGCATTCACAACTTCTGCAGGCAAGTTGTTCCACTTATTAATTGTTCTAACTGTCAGGAAATTTCTCCTTAGTTCTAAGTTGCTTCTCTCCTTGATTAGTTTCCACCCATTGCTTCTTGTTCTACCCTCAGGTGCTTTGGAGAATAGCTTGACTCCCTCTTCTTTGTGGCAGCCCCTGAGATATTGGAACACTGCTGTCATGTCACCCCTAGTCCTTCTTTTCATTAAATTAGACATACCCAGTTCCTGCAACCGTTCTTCATATGTTTTAGCCTCCAATCCCCTAATCATCTTTGTTGCTCTTCTCTGCACTCTTTCTAGAGTCTCCACATCTTTTTTACATCATGGCGACCAAAACCGAATGCAGTATTTCAAATGTAACCTTACCAAGGCATTATAAAGTGGTATTAACACTTCATGTGATCTTGATTCTATCCCTCTGTTTATGCAGCTTAGAACTGTGTTGGCTTTTTTGGCAGCTGCTGCACACTGCTGGCTCATATTTAAATGGTTGTCCACTAGGACTCCAAGATCCCTCTCACAATTATGATTGTCTACTTCCTCTTGCCAAGTTTTCCTGATGCCAGTTCTGTTTTTTCCCACCCCAAATGCTCTGCTTCCACCTCACCCTCCCCCAATCCCACTTCCCCTTGTGTCTGGTACATTACCAGTAGAGGTTGCACTGCTGGAGTTCAGACTATGAGAGGAGAGCTGGGAGGGTGTGTATGAATCATAACTTCGCACTGACGGGCTGCCAGGGAGCATGCAGGAATAAGACGATGTCTGGCTGGCAACAGGGGGCACTGCCTGCTAATGAGTACCAGAGAATATGCAACAGAGAAAGAAAAAAGGATATTAATATTGCTGGTGTATCAGCATCGGTCATTTGCAACCCCCACTTGGCACCATTCAAGAATTCTGTTGTTCCTTTTAAGCTCACCTGAATAGGGAGGCTGTTGTTGGCCATGGAGAAGGGAGCTAAAGGTGGGAGAGAACCATAGTTGTTGCTGAGGACACTTTCTGTATGGCCCAGCATAGCACCTGAAAAAAAAGGAAAAGAGATTTGTGATAAAGAAGAGCGGTACCCTCCAGGAAGCAAACTAAGAAATAGTCCAAAAAACATTCAATAGAATGAGGAAGTGTGTTCTTAAAAACAGCTCAGCTGTCTCATCAATTTCTGCAATGAATGAATAACAGGCATTCCTCTCCAAACAGGTGATCTTTTAAATCTAGAATCTAAAAATGTCTCATGGCACCAATGTTTCCAAATGGTGCCTTGATGAATTATGCTGCTTGGGAAGACCCCAGGAATAGGTGGGGAATGAATGAATGAGTTTGTTGGGGAGAGGGTCCTCACCTGACCCTATAGGCTGAGGGAGTGACTGGTAGACAGCACTGCCTACAGTGCCAAAAGTGTTGTTTATGATGAGGTGCCCTCCAGTGCCACCTGCTTGGCGCCTCTGGTTCCGCAGTTTCTCTTCCCGACGCCATTTAGCTCGACGGTTGGAGAACCAGACCTGGAAAAATTAAAAAGAGGAACTCTGTTGCCCAAGAGAACAAGGAGTATAATGGTAGAAAGTCTCTGCTCTTTTGTTTCTTGTTAGATGGCTATAAGATCATCTCGTTTACCTGGATCCGGGCTTCGGGAAGATCAATTTTTGCTGCCAAGCGTTCACGGGCAAAGACATCAGGGTAGTGAGTACGCTCAAATTCTGAAGATTTAAGTTACAACATGTAAAGATATTAAAGACATAGCCTCCTCTTTACCAACACTTACAGTTCTTAACAAAATATATTTTCAAGCACTCATACTCTACATATCACATTAGAGGTACATATTTTCCCTTGTTACTTTGATGTTTGGATTCAAAAGAACAGTTCTTTCATATGTGATCCTTCTCTCCCTCTAGTTCTCCTTTAGTGACCAGCAGTAGAATATGTATTTAAAAAGATAATCTTCCTTCAATATTAGATTATCATCTGGTCACTCCAGTGTCAGACTTCCACAGGCATTCAGCAAGACTGCAAATGTTATGTCCAGTGCTATCCATTTACTGTTCACATCAGTCATCTTCTTTCCTTTTTGTTCTAAGAGCCAGATCTTTTGGAAACTCTACAGTCTTAAAAATCATTGCAATGTTTTTTTCAAATTGAGCCAGTTTAAGATGTGTGGATTTCAACTGGGCCACTTTGAAGAAATTCTAGGTGTTGAAGCTTACACATTTTAAAGTGCCCAGTTGTAAAAACAGATATATAATGTATTCTATGTTTTTTGTACATATATGCATTTTGGTATAATGCATGATTTAAAAATGGCATGTCTTATAATGTTCATGACCCAAAAAAAGCAGCTTTGTGCATAGGCTGCAATATAATTTATGGCCACCAGATGGCCCTGTACGTCTTTTCCAGTCCCCGTCTTTGAAATGGGATTTCCAACTCTGGACTTTAAATAATCAGACATCATTAACAGAATGCCTCTAAGAAGATTAAGTTATTGTTACTTTTTATACTATATAAATTGCTATATAAATTATACCTCTCACAGTTATTACACAGCAATATTCTAAAAAAGAGGTTAGAGGGAGTCTGTGAAATTATTATTTATTTATTTATTTATTTATTTAATTTATGCATAATCCAGTGTACTCCACTTCTTCTAATACAGTGTATAATTTAAAAATGGCATGGCTTATAACATGTGGCAAAAAATGCAGTTTCGTACATAGGTTGCAATACTGTTTATGATTTCTGTGTGGCATGACTGCCATCCTACTGAAAGGATTTCCAATACCTTTGGTTTTGCGTAGTCAATATGCAAAATTCTCAGATTTATTTCCTGATATTTCTAGGTTAGAACTGGAAAAATTCCTATGTGAGCCTTGGAGGGTCACTGCCAGCCATAATTCTAGTTTAGATAGAGTGATAATCTGATGCAATAAAAGGAAATTTCCTGTTTCAGAAATCTTCAGGCAATGTTTCTCAACCTTGGGAATATCAAACTATTTCCTCAGCCAGCATGGAGAGCATTCCCATCTGACTGGAGAATTATGGGAGTTGATGTCCAAACATCTTAAACTTCCCAAGATTGAGAAATGTTGTTTTCAGTCTTCACCTGTCAGGTGGCTTCAAAAATAGAGCAACTATGCAACTGGTTCTCTTGAGCTGTGTGTCTGGGCCTGATGAGTTGTCTACATCTGTGATTAGGGTAATGAGTACCTGGAAAGACTGACTAACTAACTACTAACCTCTTCACACATTTTTTTATTAAAGGCAACACGCTAGCAAAGTTTTATGTGTTTGTTTGAATCAGTCCCTTACTGCACTGAGCCTGGTGGCGCAGTGGACTAAGTGCTGTTAAAAGTAACACTTAAGTAGCCCCAGTTGCTTGCAATTACTGCGAGTTCAATTCTCACCAGGCTCAAGGTTGACTCAGCCTTCCATCCTTCCGAGGTAGGTAAAATGAGGACCTGGATTGTGGAGGCAATAAGCTGACTTTGTATAAAAAGAACACCACTTGTGGGGGGGGTCAAAAGCCCTACTAAGCAGGTATATACAAAAGTATGAAAGCTATTGCTTAAAGCATTGTAAGCCACCCTGGGTCTCCGGAGAAGGGCGGCATATAAATCGAACCAATAAATAAATAAATAAATTGCTTAGAATGAAACAAGGTGCATCTACATGCTGGTTATAAAAACACTGACATTCCCCACGCGTGTCTCACAACTTCCTGCTCAAATTACCCCAGAAAAGAAATTCCACCCAATGGGCCATCACATCAGACAACATCCCTGCTTCCTCTTTGCCTTACCTTTCTCCAATGACTCTATTTGTTCCTGTGTAAAAGAAGTTCTGTTTCTTTGCAATTTGCGCTTCAGCTGCAAATGGATTTGGGAGTCATCTAGGTCTTGGTTGCCACCACCTTGAGGGTGCTCAGAATCCAAGCTACTTTCTAGCTGCTGACAGCTATCTGAGGAGATAGAGTGGAGAACAATGGGCAGCATAGAGTTAATAACACTCTTCCCCAAACTGGTGCTTGTCAGAAATGCTTGACAGTGACAGATACATTGACTCTGGAATATGGGAGTTGTAGTCCTCCTGTATGACCATAAATTCTCAAATGGTTTAGAAGCAGAGATGGGAGATCATTTCAACACTGCTATTTTTTATTATTTATTAGCTTTATAGGTAGTCTTTATTTATACGATTCAAGGTGAAGTAGTAATGACTCTCTTTTTATTTGCTCCACAATAACACAGTGAGACAGATTGGGCTGAAAATGAGAGGTATAAAATAACTTAGTTGGCTTTTTGGCCTAACCATTGCACCAAACTGTTTCTCCAAGCCCCTCAGAAACTGATTTATGGTGGTTATCACCAGCACCAGTCTTTACAGGTAGTCCTCGACTTAACGACTACAATGGTTGTAAATCACAATAGTCATAAAGTGGGTCATCATGTAACTAGATGTAATTTTATTATCTTTTTTGGCAGCAATTGTTAAGTGAGCATCACAGTTGTTAAGTGAATCCATTGTTCACCATGGAGCGTTTTTGCTGCAAACTGAAGTAAATGTTGATTTTTGGCAAAAAAAAATTGACAACCACGATCACATGACTGCTGGATACTGCAAACAGCCATAAATGTGGGCTGGTTGCTGAGTGCCCAAAATGTGATCATGGGGTTGGCATCGAAACTTTAAACTGTCACTAAGTGACCAATCGTAAGTCAAGGATTACCTATAAATGCCGCATGACCCAACCAGTGCTTCCTTTTGCTGACCAAGAAGAGAGGAAGAAAATCAGCATCAAACTAATCCCCCACCCCAATTGTGGGTCTGTTTTGTCTGACATCAATATTATAGACAAAGTGTAAAGGCTTAGACTGCTCCCACAAGCACTCCAGAGCTTTGCTGGAGATTTGGATTCAGCATGTTTGATGCTGAACTGCACCTGAGATGGAAATAAATGGACTCAGTGCCACCCTAACTACCTTGAAAAATTGTGCTGATGAGAAGATAGTTAACTTTCTTTGCCATTTTCTCCTATTCCAGGTTACTCCTCTCTCCTGCATAGCAACTTGTTCCAATGTTGAGTTGGGGCACCGTTAACCACTGTTGGCCAAGCTTCATGCACTGACCAGTTTGTACAATATCTGTGAGGAAGTGTCTTGTTTGTAAAAGGTAAAAAGGGAAATGTAGCCACAAGGTGCTGCAAGATTAGGAATTCTTTCAAACTCCTTCCATTTCAAGCCACTACTTCTCTTTCCCAGGCTCCCCTTTCCTTTGTAAGATTAGGGTTCAGTTGAGAAATATCCTCCTCAACTTTTGTTCTTATCTAACTCATCAACTCAGACATGAAAGAAATCGGCATAATTTTGCTCCAACCACAGACCGTGAGATTTTAGTGCAGAATGCAAAGCCTTGCAAAAAAAAAAAAAAAATCATAGACATCTTGCTTGGTGTATTTGAAATTTAAAAGAATGGTCTGTGGAAATTCTTAAAAGAAATATCTACATTCAAGGTTGTTCAGCTCTCCATTAATTCTTTGCATGGTCTAAACCACAAGTAACTGGTCCAGGCCTCCATTTCAACTTCCCACAATGCTCTGCTTCGCAGTCAAAATCAATAGGCATAGCCATTAGTTGCTTTGAGTGTGAGGGAGTTTCAGAGCATTATAGGGAATTAATATGGTGGCTTGAGACAACCACTCAGTGCTGCTTTAGAGCACTGCTGTTGCTGTCCTTTGCCCATAATTAGAAAGTTCAGGCTCACAGAAAGAAGATAGACATTTTTATTTGGAGCACATTTAAACAAGTGCAGGAAGTGCAGATAGGAAGCCTACCAGCCAACTTTCAAACCATCAGCAGATATAGGCTGACCCTCTTCCTCAAAGAGTTACAGAAAGGGGACAAAACAAAAATCAAGCCAAAATCTTACAACCTTACATTGCCTGTAAAGATAATCCCTGACTTTGACATATATGCACTACAATTCTGTGCTATAGCTATAGCTCTTTCTAGCAAATATTATTAATCAGAATTCTGGAACTTCCTCTTCCATTAAATTGTGTTCAGAAATCTGGCATGGGGTCTCTGAACCTCATGTGGTGTCATCCCTGAATGTCATGTGTTGTCTTGCTTTGTCCCCTGATGGAAAATTGACATTCTCCTCTGGCATCTTAGCTTCCCCCACCCCGGGCCTTTTCTTCTTCCTGTCTGTCTCTGTGGTGAGACAACTGTTTATTAATAGTTTATAAAGAGTCACTGAATAATGTGTGTTAAGAAATTGTTAATCCATGACTGCACACTCACAGTAGAGATAGATTCTTCTATCTAGTTCTAATTCATTATGGTGGGGGAAGAAGAACCATCCCTGACACATGGCACACAAAATATAATGCATGCATATTGACTCAAGACCAGAAGGGACAACAAAAGGGAAGACATGAAAACAGTCTTGGTCTCTCTGGCAGAAAAGAGGTGGGAGGAGGCAAATGGAAGAAGACTTCATTCCCAGGATAGCGTGTAGGTTTTTTATATGTGGTGTGTATTGCAGGAATCTTGATCTCTCTGAGACAGGAAGTTTTCTTCCTGGTTGGCTCAAAATAGGGGCTGCAGGGAAACTGGTGACAGCTGCTTGAGGCCTTGGAGCCCATGAGAAAGGGATAATGGATGGGTGGCAACTGAGGGTTTCGGGGAACCCACAAGAGCTTAACCTTTTATCCAAGGGGAGCTCTATCCTGAGCAATGACCTTTCCGTGCTTCTGCGAAACCAAGCACTCAGATCTCCGCAGGCAACGCAAAGCCACTGCATCAGCCAGAGTGCCTTAATGTGAGATGACACGGCCTTCTCCCTCCCCCCTGATTCTTCTAACTGTTTGCAGTCCCTGCAGCAAAGAGATCCAAAATGCCTCGTTGGTGAAGAATATTTCTGCTTGGCCCTGGCCCAGATATAGGGCTGTCAGGGTCTGTCCTCACCCCCCATGTCACTTCAACCAGTCTGCCTCTCTTCCCCCTCCCCCCACCCCATTCTCCCATATCCCCCTCAGTTCTATTTTTTGCTGAGATATCTTTGCAAAATGCAAAGGGAGGAAACACGCTTGCATACACCCGAAGGGGAAATGGGGCAGGAGGGCTGGAGTGGTGAGATGGAGGAGAGAAGGGAAATTGGGGAGGGGGGGAGAGAGAGAGAAGGTCTGAACTGTGTCTGAAATCACCACAAATGGAGAAGTTGGTCAGAAAGAGGACCTCCTGCTTTTGTACTTTGGTAACCACAAAAGCTATGGGTCTCTCTGTGGATGTGGGTTATATAAATGGGATCAAGAACATTAGAATACGATGTGCACATATATCACAGCCTTCCCAAACTTGTCAGTTTCCAAGTGTCTTGAGTAGTTATTCTCAGGATCTTCAAGCTGTATTAGCCCAAGGATTCTAAAACTTCTGGTTCCAGGCTGTCTGAATGTTCCAGGTTGGACAAAACATCTAGAATTAGACCACATCCATGAGGATATCTACCCCAGGTTCCAGGTGGGCTGTACAGTCCATGGGCTGTATTGTCCATGGGCCTCCAGGCCAGATCATACAATACAGGCAATCATCAGGCATGTTTTTTTTTTAAAGATAATTGACTAGTCTAGCTTTTTGGGACACAGGGACGCTCAGGGTGTGTAATACGTATTAGGCTTTTTGTCATCAACTACCTTGGAGGGATATCAGGTAACTGGTAATGTCTGGAAACAGAGGTGAGAGAAACAGGATAAGGTTGGCAGGGGACAGCAAAGTTCATGCTGGGTTTTTTTGTTTGTTTGTTTTGCTGTGTCATGGAGGATAGAGAAGATGCCAGCTCAGCTGTGGGGAAAGTCCCCAGTGAATGGGCAGAAAGCCCAATTAGTACAGCACTACAGCTTTTTATTAATTTTTTTATATATTCAGTTCAGCTGTTGAGTGTTGCTGGTTGAGGAAAAGCAATACCATGTGAGTCAACCGCCTCTTAGCAGTAAGCAACAAGGGTTATTGTGGTTTGAGGTGGCGTGGCAGCACCATTTATGAACTGTCTCGCTATGGAGTCATAAGCAACAGGAGCAACCTATTCAATTTTTTACTACCGGTTCTGTGGGTGTGGCTTGGTGGGTGTGACTTGGTGGGTGTGGCATGGCTTGGGCGTGGCTTGGTGGGCGTGGCAGGGAAAGGTTACTGCAAAATCCCCATTTCCTCCTGATCAGCTGGGACTTGGGAGGCAGAGAATAGATGGGGGGCCAGTCAGAGGTGGTATTTACCAGTTCTCTGAACTACTCAAAATTTCTGCTACTGGTTCTCCAGAACTGGTCAGAACCTGCTGAAACCCACCTCTGAACCTATTGAGGTGGAAAGATTTTGGAATATCAGCAACAAGAGTCTAACGTTAAGGTCCATGCTTATCTTAAAGCAATCCCACATTCTGCCCACCACTTTTCCTATGGATTACTCAAGATATTATTATTTGGAATGGGGGGGGGAGATTATGGGTTTTTATATTGTGGAATTTTAGAGTCATCCAGAGTCATTGTGGGAGGGCTGGATGGCCCTATAGGTGTGTTTAATAAATAAGTAAATAATTTTCTCTTTTATATTTCATAAAGATAGGTAAGGTTCTTTCAGAACACAAAAACATCTTTTTGAATCTCAGTGGAGACTATGAAAAAGTGGAATGCAAAGAACTGTTTCTACTGGAATGACTATAAGAGGGAATGGATCAAAAATGTCCAGACACTATAACCACACGATGAAACCCCCCCCCACCCATTTTACCATGTGCAAAAAGGAACAGAACTTCAGTGGCATGATCACGACTGCCATCTTGAATCCTCTGACTCCTTCCATGGTTAATCTTGTCTAAATATTGCAAGGAAGCACAAGGCTCAGTTCTAGTAGGCATATTATCTTATGCAGAAGGATCACACTACCTTCTTATCTTACAGTATATGTGTCA